AAAATTAAGAAGTTTTCACACAAAATTTAACTATGTTTTTCTTTTATGTCAGGATTTGATATTAGGCATTAGATTTTTAGCTCAAAACGAGTCTTCTTGAGAAGAACATTGCATTTAGTGAAACCATTCACATAATTGCCTAACTCACTGACATAGCAAAATGAGATGATATTTACATATTTTTATGAATCTCCTCAGTATTTTATATTCCTAAGGATTTTTATATTCAAGAAATTAATATATCTGCATATTATTTAAATATTTTAAAGATAACACATAATTAATAATTTTAGTGTTCTTGAGTCATTGTGATTCCTTGATATTGTCATAAGCAGAAAACAGTATTGGCTCAAGTGAAGAAATCAGTCATAAAAAATAGATTTATTTAGTTGCAGTGATGGGTACTTAAAATATTGGAGACTGAATGCAATAGATTTTTACCTATGTAGCATATCATAAAACATTGGTTATCCTGATATTTAGTCTTTACTTCACATTATATTTGTTAAATATCTAATATGTATCAGCATAGTGTCATTATGCTACTGCAATACATAAGGAAAGAAACAAAGTAATTCCATCTATATATCTTTAAAGACCCTATAGATAGAAAGAGTATTAAATAATAATTCACTCAAAAATGCATATATGGAGTGCTGTACAAATAGAGGTTGAAAGGGGCTTCCCCGAGTCTGGGTGAGAAACACGGGGGCTGGTACACAAAGGATACACAGTAGCATCTCTGACACAGCAGTGAGAGGAAAACAAAGAGCCCAAGTCAGAGATGGTGGGGATGGGAATGACGGGGATGAGAGAACTTGTGGGGGGTGGACCACACAAATCACAGACCATGGTGGTCTTTGAAGACAAGGTTAAGGAGTATGGCCATAACTCAATGGTAACGGGAAGCCACTGGAGGATTATACTCGAAAGAATGACCTAGTCAGATTCCTGTTTTAGGAAGATGACTGTTCGTCCCTGTGGACAGATTGAAAGTTGGAAGTCATGACTAGCAGCAGAAGTGGTCAGAAGACTGGAAGGTAACCATGGCTGCAGCAGTGCTGTGGAAGACGCAGAACCACTCTGGAGATTGTTGGGAGAAGCATCTGACAGTGATGACTGGCAGAAAGATGGCTTGGTTACGGGAAGTGGAGCAAGAGTCGCTTACCCCATGTTTACAACTTGAGAAGAACTATGAGAGACAGGCAGCAAGGAGACAGAAACTGAAATCTCGGAAGGTACATGTTAGCAAACAGGAAAAATATTGACAAGTGGAACTATAACCACAAATAGAAATGATTTTTTTCCTTTATGTGAATGATGCCCATTTTAATATCGAAAAATCTTTAATGTCACTAGCAGTTTGAAGTGCTTTTCAATACCTATTTGAAAGCAGAAGTTGAGAATATTAATAATTAATCTGACGTCTGCTTACTGACGACAGATAATGGGATCGCTCCTTAGGGCTGGTTCACCTCGCTACTAAAAGCTGTGCTATTTCTCCTGGAACGAATGGACATTCTGGGCACATCTGCATTTGCTCTGGTTGCTGTGTTTCTGGGATTTCAAGGATGCTTGCATATATTTCTGAGGGATGAGTGAAGTTTATTCAGTCTCTAACTGTGAATTAAATATGCAGCTGCGGGAAATGTCAGCAAAGTCACACAAAAGACCGGATTCACGGCTGCTTTGCTACTGAATGATGGGTGTCTGTGTCGCATTGCCCTGATGGAAAAGGGCTTTGTGAGCTTTAAAATCCCTTCCTCTTTACCTGTGCTGAAATCAAGAGGGCAGCATGGTTACACGGTAGATACAGGTGGCTGAATCAATCCATAAAGACACTCTTCTCAAATAGCTCAGCCTTTTCTATTTGTCTGCTGTGTGATAATCCTTGGCTGCTCACCATCCAGTCTAGTACACTACTAAAGAATAGTCAGACAGCTTAGCTTAGCTGACCAAGCTGCCATCATAGAATTCTGTGATACCTAGAATATTTTAAAATATTTTATTTATTTATTTTTTTAAAGTAATTTTATTAAATTATAAAAGTTTCCATTCCCGCCCCACCTCCCAACACCCTCCCACTCCCCCTACTCCCTCTCCTCCTCCCTCTCCAGTCCTAAGGGCAGACAGGGTTTCCTGCCCTGTGGGAAGTTCAAGCTCCTCCCCCTCCCTCCAGGTCCGGGAAGGTGAGAATCCAAACAAACTGGAACCTGATGAAGATTATTTAGCTATCCGCCAGGAGGTAGGAAATAGACAAGAGTCCCAGGTAACCTCGGGTGCATGGGGGGGGGGGGTTGTTGGAAGGGGAGACGGTTAGAAAGAAGGGAGTAGGGGAGGAATGGGGAAAGCTCGGTGGACCGGGATGTGGGGGAGGGAGGAAGGATGAATATGGGATCAGGGAAGAATATAGTTCAACTAAGGGAGTCATTTTTGGGATTACAGGAGACTTGATTATATATGGGATCCCAGGTCCAAGGAGAGATCCCCAGATTGTTCTCTGGACAGAGGAGAGGGTGCCTGAACCGGCCTTGGCCCATAACCATACTGATGAATATTTTGCTTAAAATATTTTTAATAGCAATATATTTACTTAAGAAAAAATGTCCTCTTTCTATGGAATTCTAGAAAAGGAGTTGCTGGAACACAAACTACCTTTTATAAAGTTTACCTCCTCTTGTGGTAAAGCCAGAGGCAAGATTCTTGTAAGAACTGCCAATGCCAACGGTGATAGGTAAGAGGCAGGAGTTGGAGGCATGTTCCCATATTGGTTATTGCACATAATGGCTATTAGACCAAGAGGCAGGAGTTGGAGGACAGGTTCCTTTATTGATTATTGCACATAATGGCTTTTATACCTGTTACCAACACAACTGGTAATCTCCCCAAACTCTACAGATGACAAAAAGTCCACCCCAATAATTACCACTGTGAAGAAATTATCTTATTTAATTCTAATTCTCCAGAGTAAATAGGTCTTATCAGAGAGCCTAGGATCACTTAATTACATATATTTGTTGGTCCTCCTCAAGGTCATAATGTCAAAATCTGAGTTCATATCTACCATATTATTTTTCCTTTGGAGGGCATTTAGTATCTTCGAGCTATACTTTCTTCTACAAAATAAGGCATAGGAATATGGAGGGGGGAGGGAGGGAGGGAGAGAGAGATAGATAGATCGCATAGGGTATAGTGGTGATAAATCATATGTAATTTTTAGTCTGACTGCCCAGGGGCTCAGTAAGTATCCTCTGAGTAGCCGTTGCTCTTTAATTATTTTCAGGATGCCATAATTTCAAGACCCCGGTACCCCAATGATAAAAAGAAACAAGAGAAAATTAAGTTATTGATGTAGGAAACAATACATTGTTTCCTTTCTCTCGTTATGGATTCATAGTACTTTTTATAAAGAATTTGTTGTCTCCATCTCAAAATATTAGGCCATGAGTACCAGTTATATAATTATTATGATAAAATTTCAAGTTAGTAAGACAATGGGAACTTTAATTCACTGATATAAATGTGCATTACTGCCAAGTTCACCTATCAGTTATTTTAACTTGGCTATTAGACCTGTTACCAATATGGCTGGCAATCTCCCAAAACTGCCACCCATGACAAAAAACAAAATCCACCCGAATAATTGGACTTAGGGCCCACTCAACGCAAGGTACTAAAAACCTAGATATCTTCCTGGGGCTAGTGTGATCGTGGACTTTAGAAAATAATCTATTGCCATCACTTTGCTAAGACCCACATAATTTCTTCCTACATTCTAAATCGTATCCTTATACCCATAAATAAAATGGAGCAACCTCCCCCTCATCAAAGACGCTTCTCTTTATAGCAAATGGAGATCTTCACATAAAATCACAACTAGACACAATACAGAGATCAACAGGCAGTGGGGAGCCCCGTCCCAAAGGATCCGTCTTTATCACAGTTCCTGTAGCTGTAGCTTATGGAGTAGCATGAGAGACGCTACAGAAAAACTGTGAGAGCCAGAAGGACAGGAAGTCTGCTATGAAGTGGTCTCTCCTAGGAAGGACTACGTCAACAAGACTAGAACACTGACAATATTAACAGATATGCTGATGTGAGCAGGAGAAATATCACAGGATCCCACCCTTGGGTCAAAAGAATAGAAAATCAGTGACTGGGGAGACAGGGAGAATTAGCCTCTCCCAGGAATGAGCTACCTAACTGTTTAACCAAAGAATCATCCCTGATACTATCTACACACAAGCAACAGTAGACTCTTGTAGGTTGTATTTATATATACATATATATATATATTTGTAGGTTATATTTATATATGTGTAGGTTGTATGTGTATATATACATACATGTACACAATACACATATATATATATAAACAATGTATAACAATAATAATTAAAAGAGACTATTAATTTGAGAGTCAGGGCATAAGAGAGGTGCAGTAAGGCTATCTTGGAGGGGTAGATGAGAAAAGAGAAGGGGGGAAGGATGTAATCCTACTTTAATTTAAAAATAGCAAACTGGAGAATAGCTTCAACCTCAAGGTGTAAGCCCGAGATTAAAATGTGCTGGAATACTTTTTGAGCCCAGACAAGCTGAGGATCTGGGATTTTGATGAATTTAAATAACCTTTCCAAGTTGGTTTAGCTTCCTCAAAATATTTTTCTTCTTGTTTAGTTTTATTCATTTTTCATTTCAAAATTCCTTTATCTTTAGGGAACAAACACTGGGGTGTCTTAGTACAAATAAGAAGCTCAGAACTCACTCCAAAGCCAAGCAATTGATTTAAGAAGTGTTCAATATGTCTTTGTGTTGACAAAATAAACACAGCTTATAAATGAGTTCTTTGAAAACTACAGAAAACTAGAAACCTTCTTAAACACACACACACACACACACACACACACACACACACACACACACACACACACACAAACACTGAAAATTCCTACCCCAGGACCTTGGGAATCCTTCAAAATCAGTCAAGTAAAGGCACCTACTGATTTGTGTTTCTAAGAGCAGGAGACTTCACTTTAATAAGGTTGTCCAAGTCTTGGCTGTTTGAAATAGTGAAAGGGGATGGATAAGTAATGGTAATTTGGTTATGCAAGATCAATATGGCAATAGTAAAAAACCCATTTCATACAAGGAAAACAGGTGAAACCATGAATTAGCTGGTTTCCTCTTATTACCTTTGTCTGGTCACCGTAGGATTCCCTCTGATGATGCCATCCAGATCATGGTTTCTTCCAGCAAAATAACAGAAAGAAAATGAGTTAATAATAAAGTTATTTTAGTTTGAACAGTGCTTTTTCACTCTACCTGGAATAATAAAACAGAATATTCTTCCTGACCCAAACTCATTGAAAATCAGCTTATTACCTTTGATTGTTTTCAAGAACATCAGGATTCACTTTGATGAACTTATCAAGATCTTGGTGTCTTTAAGGAGAAAAAGACAAAAGTATTAAGGTTAGAGACGATAGGGTTCAGCCACATCAGAAAACCTCTGTGGGAGGGAAGGAGTCTATTATGTGATCCATTGTGGAAAACGGCAACAGACTCTTTCCCACCCAACACAGGCTGCAAGACTCATGCTCAGGAGAACTTGCTGATCCCACACTGTATTTCCTGTCAACGGCCAGGGTATGCCTCTTCAGCATTCCACAAGGCATGTCTAAGAAACAACACTCTTCAGTCTTTCACCATTATGAAGGCAAACTTATTCTCAAGCCTTTGCCATTTGAAAGATCTTAATATAGAAAATAGGAGCTCAAAAGCTGAGATGCCCTACACACCAACCTAGCAAACAGATTTCCAGCAAGCCATCAAAATCATGACTTGACAATGACTGAAGAACTGAACGGAACTCAGTTGTTCACTGTTAAATTAGATGAATACTCTATAGACTGCCCCCTCTCCTCTTGATGATCCGCTCTTTTGTGTTGTTTCCTTTTTCCTTTCTCAACTGCAAAGCAGCATTTCCCAACCTGGACTCATATCATTAAGCTCTTTTACATAACTCCAGTCTTGTGGCCAAAGGAGTGGGCATTTAAAGGATCCCTCTAAGCCTCTCACATTATAATTATTAGCACACACTGACCATGTAAATTAGCGAATGTTATTCTGACTTCTTTGTATCTACTTTTACCATGATCTGACCACATCACCCTTTCCTCTACCTGCTCTTAACCTTCTGGGTCTCCCTTCTTCCCCCAGTTCCCTTTCATTGTCTTAAATAGTCTGTTTCTGTTGTCAGTGTCTTTGTGTTTTGTTTAGGGAGGTTTTGTTTCATATAAGAGAAAACACAGCTCTCTTTCTGTTGTGGTACTGGGTATTCAAACTTTTTAAGAAGTGCCTATTCAGCTCATTTGCCTACTTGGGTAGGATCGTTTGTTTTTTTGTTTTTTTTAACATTTTATAAATATAGACTCAGAAAGACATGGCACTTGCTATGGCAAAAGACCGCAAGAATGACCGTATCTTTTTCAGTACCACCTGGAGCAGTAGCTTGCCTGGGTCCCCTTCCTTTTAGCACTCCCTTTTGCACTGATAAATGTAAAGACATATTTTACTAATCAAGAAGATTTTTGCAGAGTTCAACAGAGAGGAAGCCGTTTAGCAGGGAGGCAGCAGCAAAGTCTGAGCAAACACAGCTCCCCCTCCCTAGCCTTTCCACGGGATGTGTGACCATCACGGCTTCCAGCACTTCTCAGAGTTCTCAGAGCTCCCTGATAGATGGAGCATCTCAACCTGAATTTCCACTGTGTTGAGTTATCCTCAAGAATAACATTTTCAATTTTAAAGTTCTATAAATATAACAGAAAGAGTGATTGGCAAATGAACTCTACTAAAACCATAATTTCTCAGAATAAATTACTTGAAAACATTTTGTTACAAATGAAGATGAAATGAGACAACAGAGGCTGGAAAGTCTGTTAGAAACTAGCTGATGACAAAATGAGAGCATTTCAAATGAAGTTAACTTAACATATTAAAAGGAAAAAGGAATAACCAGGAATAAAAGCCCTGGAGAAGGAGAGGTGTGTTTAAAAGTCACAGCTTGTTTACATTTAAGATCAATCACAGTGGATTTCGGTGTGAGTGTATATGCTCTCCATAGGGTTCATTTAGAATAGAGATGAAGGATGCTAAAACAAGTGTCCAAGTCTTCTTCTTCTATGAGCATCAAACAAGAGTGGGCATCTGGAAGTCTAAAACAGAGATATTTGACAGTACTACATAAAGACCAGTAACCTCGTGAGCACACACACACACACAGACATACACGTGTGCACACACACACACACAGACATACACGTGCGCACACACACACAAACATACACGTGCACACACACACAAACATACACGTGCACACACACACACAGACATACACGTGCACACACACACAAACATACACGTGCACACACACACACACAAACATACACATGCACACACACACACACACACAGAGAGAGAGAGAGAGAGAGAGAGAGAGAGAGATTGCAAGAAACAATCTGATATCACCAGAACTTTAATATTTTCTATTTGACTCGCTCTTGTATGTGCTGATTGCTGCTCACCGAATTAGTTATAAAAACCTTTAATAAGGGGCATACCCAAAGTTTGAGAAACAAAAGCCAGCAGTCATAAACACATGCTATGTGCTGGCACTACTTAAAAAGGGAGCAACGCTGTGAGTCACCACAGCAAGGATCTAAGCAATGCTCTTAATTCCCTCAACGGGCGACAAATGCATCTTATCTCAATGAACTGGAAACAGTATTTCCAGGCCCTGGGTCCTAGGAACACAGAAATTCAATGTTTAAATTTTATCCAGAGGAAACATAATCTCTTTCCTACGCACGTTTCTGATTTGACGTTGTGTTTCCGGTGGGTTAGAGAAGGTACCAGATATTTCGGTATTATTTCCATGGAGGTTAGGACTCTAGCATGTATTGTAGTAACCTGAACCCGTGTGCCAATGTCAGCCATGTGTGATCCTTCAAGCGACCCCGTCAGACAGCTAAAGGACACTTCCCAGCTTTCTCACAACAGACGCCCCAATCCTATCCTGTAGCCTTCTGGGTTTTCTGAGATACCTAATGAATCTTTATTTATTTGAAGACTGAAGTCTGTGTGCTGTGAAGTAAAAAACAGAATTCAGCTGGAAACCACAGGACCTCTTTGAAGACAGAATTATTATTTTTTTACTTATTTATTTACTTATTTATTTTTGCGCTCAGGCATTACTTAGTATTGTCATGTATAAATGAGGAGCTGGGACCCCGGACACTGCCTACCGCTCTGTCTTCCCTAACATCAACCGCAGGAATACAAATCTTACTGCATGTAATGTTTATTACAACAGTCTTTCATTTCATTTTTCTTTCTAAATGCAACTCACTGACAATACATTCTATATTCAGTCAGCAGTACACGGGGCTCTGAAATGCAATATATTAAACTGACAACCTATTATTGTCTTAGCGTAACATCTCTCTGCCCTGGTACATAATTAGCTTTAATCTATGCTAATTGCCTGCTGTTAATAAGATTGAGTATGACGACCGGATTCTCTTTTTGGTGTCCAGGCCTGTAATTATCCCTAACATGAGAGCAAATGACACCCAGTGATGGCTGTGAACCCTGTAGGTGCCTCAGCGACCGCAGAACTACTACCAGTCTTTCCTTAACTTTCTCCGGGACCCGGGACAAATCGCTTAACCTCTCTGGGTCCTTATTCTCTCTTTTCAAAACGGATTCAGCTGGAATGGTGGTATTCGAGATGTTCCCATCAACCGGGCTACGATTTTACACATTTCCCCCTTCCCATTGGTAAGGCCTTATGAATTTTATAGGAGTCAACAGACTTAAAAATGGAAATTATGTAACCATTCCTAAGACTCTATACAAAAATAACTATATAGATAATTTGAACTGTTTATAGTCAGAAACAAAAAGGGAATTTAATTGTCTTAGAGAAACTACTTCAAGGCTTATTAAATTTAAGTTCATATTTGTTTTGTAAGCCCAAGCCCTACAATGACCAACAAGCCACTGTCCCCCCAAAATGCTCCTCTACAAAGAGGTGAATGCACTACCATCATACATACCATGATACAACAAATGGGGAAGCATCTTGGTTTATTCCATAGTTATTGTTAATACTTTTTAACTTCAGAAACAAAAGCCTAACATTAATGCTTGACAAAGCAACCAGAATGTGCCAGCTTCTGCGCCAGCTATGTTCCTACCGCCCCTTCTCGGGTGGCCCCATCTTCATTTTGCTTAAGACTAGGAGAAGGCCCCACTGTGTACAATGCTCAGCTGTCTGTTTTTCTATGTCTAAATACTGAAATTAACATGGAAGTTTTCAGGTACATATGAAAATAGCGATATTTTAGGAATTTCATTCGATTTTTCGATAAAATGAGTATGGTATGTATATTCATAATGTGTTGAGTTGAGAAGAAAGAGAAACAAATGATAATATTTTCTCTTACCCAGCAGTAGTTTTGGTAGCTTTGGATCGTGTAGTAATACGTTCATCAAGGCCATGCTCATAGCTAAGACAAAGTAAAAGGAAGAGTCGAAGTCAATAAGAAATTTGTGTGTGTACACACATACACATGCAATGGAAATATAGAATAAGTATAACATGTTACAAAGTGTCTATCTCAGATCACTAATTGCTTCTGCATTTTGTTTTGCTTTCAGACAGGGTCTCCCTACGCCCCTTGTAGAGCAACAGGCTGGTCTTGAACTCCAACTTCTCCTACCTTTCCCTTGAGTTCTGATAGTACATGGGATGGCTATTACCAATGCTTAGAAAGAATTTCACAAGGATTAAAACACTTCCTGGGGCCAAACACCCAGGAAATGCTGAAGGCAAATCAAATTTGAACCCTGAACATGTATCATGCATGCTCCCTCCTTCCCTGGCCATCCTTCAGATGGAACTCAGGTGAAGTCTGGGCTTTTTCCCTGAGCATCCTTCTTCCCCACCAAGTTTGCAGTAGCTCCTTCCATCCACATGGTCCATACCAACATTATCCTCACAGCCGCTTTATGAGTGACAGCTTGGAGTTTCTCTGCCATGCTTTTGTTAACTATTGCTCCAATATATTAATGGTCTCGATTTCTCAACAATAGAAGTAAGTTCAATGTCATGCAAAAATATTCTAATTAACTATAAACTCGTTACAGTGCCAGTTTTCTCACAAGTCATTTAAATATTAATCCTTGTGATTATGAGAGCCGCAAACGGATATTCTTCAGTTTATTCGTTTTATACAAATAACTTATTAACTAATAATTTGCAGTATTAGACCACTTATGTGATTACTGTGCTGCAAGGAATTTCTCAAATAGTAATTATACAGAATCAGCATCAGTATCATCATCTTAAACAAAAGTATAGTGAAATAAATGGAAGTAATAATAAAAGAAAACCCTGTCTGGTATTTTACAGATCCGCAAATCAGGTTCTCATTTTTTATTCCCGCCTTTTAAATATCTTTAACCAAATAAGCCTACTCCTTCTACACAAATTGGAGGAAATTTTTGTTTCTTTGTTTATTTGTTTGTTTGCTGAGGGGGTCGCCTTGGTCAGAAGGTCCAAGTCTTGGCTCCTGAAAGTAATACATTGCAATATCTGACAAGGTCAACTAAAAACAATCATTATATACTTCTCAGCCTCAATATCAAATCAAATTCATATTTAGTATTTGAAACTCCATCAGGACTTGGACCCTCTTCTTAAATAAACTTTATTATATACAATTTACAGATAAAAAAATCACACTGAAATGAACCAGACACAAAGTCTATGCATCATCACCATGGATCCTCTGTGGTTAGGATGGCCACTCAGAACTGAAGCCAAGGCGCTCTGCTCTGAACTTTACACTTTGACTGTAAAGTGTTTATTGGTCTCTAAATTCAGGGCCCTACAAGAGGTCTTATTCTTATTTGGGTTATGAAAATCTCAGGACAACTTAGCACTAAAGATTCAGACACCGGATGACAACGTCTTCAGTTCAGCCTTACTGTGATGAAATCACTTTCACAAGGCAGGGCAGCCGGCTGTGTGTAAGACATTGTTTCGACTACACTATGAATTGAACCTCTCCCTTCCGAATACAAACTATCTAGGCCAAGGGTCATCTGACTAAGGCCACCCAGGACACATTCCTCTTGCTTACTGGTTTTATAATAAAGATTTACTAGAACACAATGGGAAACACTTGGTACACAAGCATAAAGACTGTAATTTGAACTCCTAGGACCCATGTGAGATGCTAGGCAGGAAGACGGGTAGCAAGAGAACCAACAGATTCGCCAGAGCACAGAGCACACTGGCTACCTAGAGAAGCTAAATTCTAGCTGGACCAGCCTAACCCGTGAGCTGTGCTTTCAAGTGAGATTATGGGCTTAGGAACAGAAGGTGAAAGTAGCTGGGGAGGACACACTGTGTCAGCCTTTGACCTCGACATACACACAGTACATGAATCAGACCTACACATAGATTCACAAACATGAGAAGACAAATGCATATGTGCGCACCGCGCGTGTGCATGCACGCACACACACACACACTAACTTCCTAGCTTTAGAGCTGGTTGGGTTTTACACAAAAAGAAAAAAAGAAATAAACGGAAAAGAAGAAGAAGATGGGAGAACCTTTTGCCACAATCAACCTTTATTTCAGCTGCTTTGTATTAAGAAATCCTATTAGGATGCTGCCTTATCCCGTGGAAATTCCGATTCACTTTAAGTACCAAGCATGGAATACAAATGCTACATTGGAATGAGTTCACCTCTGCATTCCAAGAAACTCCTGATTCCCAGCACAGTCCACAGCCAGGGAAGCCTGTGTAGTACCAGACTCTGGACCAGCCTGCGGGTTGGTGACATTCCTGCTTCTATTTTTGCATCCCCTCTGAGGGATGTCTCTAGGACAGCACAAAGTGTTTCTCGGATTTTTGAGAGTGAAATGGAGCAAAGGAGAGAGAAAAGTTTTTTACCCTTGGTCAGCTCTGTTGGTTGTGGGCGCAGCTTTAATGAAATTGTCAAGATTTTGACTCCTTAAAAATAAAGAAGAAAGAACCTTATTAATTAACTTACATAAAATGATTGAAATTATTTACTAAAACTGATATTTTATTATAAAAGATTTACTAAAACCTTGACACCAGCCATTTTGTTGAAATTTAGTGATGGAATTGGTTCTGGAAGTATCCAGTGAACAGACAACTCCGGGTCTTTGTTAATAACAAAGCCAAAGTCCAAACCAACTGGCCAGTCCTGACTAGTCCAAAATGACACCTAGCCTCACGTCTGTGGGTTCTAGCCTACGGGACTCTTCCCTCTTCTACACTGTCCTTCTGCTAAAAGGAGCGAACCAATAACAATGTTTTCTGTAATTATTGAAAAACAACTTGAACCTAAATAATCAAAGGTACCTTCCCTGTACTGGAAATCACCTGAGCAAAACCTCTAATGTCTCAGACATGAGGGGTCAGAGTTGTCACTTCAGTCGGGATCGGTCAACTTAACTGAAGACTTCATTACCGTTACTTATAAGCACCGATGACTTCATTACCGTTACTTATAAGCACTGATGGGCATGAAGCCAGAAGGAGAAGCGTATTAAATCTTACCCTTGAAAACTGATTAACACCTTTGCAACTTTAAACAGACAAAAAAAAAATCCACTCAATAAAAATGGAATTAAATCAACTGGTTATTTCACTTGAATCTTATGAACCTATATGTCCTCAAAATAAATTTTACTATTAAGTTTCAGTAGAAATCAATACTGGTCTAAATCTTCAGCTTACAGGAGTAAAGTTTCAGTCTGCAAACAAATCAGTGATATACTGGCTTCATTTCCCACTCATTCTCAAAACAAACCCTAACATTAGGACATGAAGGAGACTGTTTTTCATGAGCTCATTTTGGAACAAAGCAATGGTTTACCCGAAAACTTATCCTGTCTCAAGAAGCAGGCATACTGAGCCTGCAGCCACAACTAAATGGTGTTTTGATAATAATTTATGTCTACAGCACTTTTGTTTTAAAGGGATCTTATAACCATTATTCCGCTTGATCCTTCTTGCTCCCTGCTGCCAATGATAGAATCAGCCCCTGCCCCTCATGCTGTGACTGACCAGCTGCTGCTCAGTGTCCGTGGGACTTGCTCAGAACCCCATCTACTAAAAAATGAGCTTTTGACTTTCTGGGTCCACGTACCCCAACTTTTCTATTCATAAGTGTTACTACCTACTGATACAGGAACGAAGAGAGATAAGACATAATTCTCTCACCCGTGGTTACTCTTGTTTACTTCTGGGGTGACTTTGATCAGATTGTCAAGGCTCTGGCCCCTTTAAAACATTGAAGAAATGAAGAGGTTAATGGTAGATTTTCAACTAGTAGAATGAAACTATTAATTAAGTCTCAGAAACAGTATCAACACTCATTGAAACCAAGTCGAGGAGTGAGACAATATTTTAATCTTGCAGATATTTGTCAACCACTTCCAAGTATATAAAACATTTTTTAATTAGACCATATACTTGTCCCATCGAACATTCCAGAAATCATTCTCTCTTGGTAGCAACCTTCAACACGTGTAAAAGAAACTTTTTAAAATCTACATTTTGTTGATATTTTTAGCAAGTTTTCTATTAAAAAACTGCATTAAGATAAATATACTAATTTGTTTAAAATGCACCTGGTATGTACTTCTGGTAATGACACATTTCAACTGATTGTTTTAGAAACAAATGGCAAAAAAGCTAAAGTCTATTGACTTCTGAAATGGCCCAAGATGCAAGCCATATTGGCTAAACTATGAACTCCACAGTTGCTGGAAACACTTGAGCGCTTGACTGTTGGCCTTAACTACACGCCTGTGTCTGATCTTCCTGTAACGATGCCTCTCCTATTGCATATGCATGTGCTTTTATATACGTCTCACCAGCAAACTTGCCTCTGATCTACAGAGGGGGCCACATGGGGAGAAGAGCCTCCTCAGAAGCAAGCCTCATCACTCTCCCCACACCCGATGACCTCACAAAGATGCCTCTGAGGTTTCATTTACACAACATCAAAGATACAGTATTTAGAAGCAACCAGATGTAAACCCAAGTTTTGATCCAGATGTCTCAAGATGTGATACTCAGGCTAAAGACAACAGAGAAAATATGTGGACTCTCGTTATGACAATAATGAAACAATTAACCCCACAGAAACAATTGCTGTATTCTAGATTAGCCTTTGATGTTTTTCACCTAAATGAAGCCTATGGGATTTGAATCACATGGTCCTAGAAAAAAAATCCCAGGTTACAAGTGGAAGATTTTAGTGTTCAAATAAATAATAGATTAGCAAGTGCCAAAAACCCTTCCTTAGAGAGTGTCAGTTGAGGAGTTTGCTTTCATTATATTGTGTAGACTTCAGTCTCTTTAGACATTAAATGAGCCCTAAAAACTGTATAGGGCTATTTAAAATCCTGTTGCATAAGTCAATAAGAAAAAACTAATTAATGTGGTAATCTCATTATTATAATGATATACTATTTGAAGTTTAACTGGGCGAATCATTGCCTCATGGTGTATGTATCATCAGTATTTATACGTTCTTGCCATCCACAAATAGCAAAGACCAATGATCTGGACTCTGGAAAGTGGTGGGGTAGATGTGATCCAAACAGACTTCTGGGCTGGGAAAAAGCAGAACACAGACAAACAGCTAAGTGGATGGTACAACCATCAGCTAACTGTACATGCTGTACTTTAAAGGTATTTGGTGTTTGCAATACTGAGGACAAGTGAGGGTGTGATTTAATCACAGTCACCAAACGTGACCTGTTTAAAAGGAAGGCCATATGGGGGCAGTATTCCAGAAAATGGGCACAACATGTATAAATGCCTTAAGGCAGGAATAAACCTGAAATGCAAAAGGTTTATTTGATAGGACTTTATTGAGAAAGTAAAAGGCTACCTCTAAGTGTTAGAATTTTATTTCACCAGAGATGGAAAAACAGTAAAAGCTTTCTAGTAAAGAGGGAAACTCTCTCTCTTCCTCTCTCTCTCTCTCTCTCTCTCTCTCTCTCTCTGTGTGTGTGTGTGTGTGTGTGTGTGTGTGTGCATATGCACGCGTGCATACATGCCAGAGGTTGATCTCTTGTATTTTCCTGTATCATTCTTCATTGTTATTTTTTTTTTAAAAAAAAAAGAAAGAAAAGAGCTTCTTACTTAATAAAGCGCTCACTAATTTGGTAAGACTAGCCAGACAGTTATGCCCAGGGAGCCTCCTGTCTTCTACCTTCCTAGGGCTGAGATTGCAGGACCATGCAGCAATGCCTGACTTTTTCAAGGATGCTGAGAATTGGATACAGGTTCTCACGCTTTGTTACTGACAGAGTAACAAAATATATTTAAAATAAGAGGATGTAAAAAGTCAATTAAAAGTACTATCTTTAAAAGTTCATAGAAAGCACATACATACAAATACAGAGACACATTTCATATGTACTCTTACACATATGTACACAGATATAGACATATACTCACATATATGTACACAAAAGAACACTCAAACACTATTTTTATATATACAATAATTCACTTGTACAAAATGTAACGCACACATTCGTGTACATGTCACATGCACACATACACAGGCACACATCTCCACTTGTAAGCATACATATGAGCTTATATAGGAATGCACACATGCAAGCAAGTATTTGAAAGATATGCACGTTAGCACATACCCATTTTAATATAAAGAATGATAGCCCACAGTTCAAAGTTTTTTTAATGAATATTAAGTAGGAAAATAATTTTAGATGTCAAGATGAACTAAATGTATATAGACTGTGTAACCATTATAAAATATAATTAATCTAGATATTTTTAACACTAACTTCTGATTCATTTTTTATAACTAGTATGTGTTGAACACAAGAGTAGCATGATTCCTCTTTAGTAGGTGAGTACGACGGCTGGTTTTATGTCAACTTCTCACATGCTAGAGTCATTTTGGAAGAGGGAACCTCAACTGAGAAAATGCCCCTACAAGATTTGCCTTTGATCAAAACTTTAGTGCATTTTATTGATATTTGATGTGGGTGCCCCTACCACATAGGCAAGTGATGCCACCCCTGGGTAGCGTGGTCCAGGATGGTATAAATAGCCATAGTGAGCACGCCGTGAGGAGCAAGTCAGTAAGCATCACTTCCTTGTGGCCTCTGCACCAGTTCCTGCCTCGGGGTTCCTGCCCTGCGTTCTCCTGCCCAGACTTCCTCTAGAGATTGGCTCTGATATAAACTGTGAGGTAAAATAAACCCCTTCCTCCCCAAGTTGCTCTTGACCGTGGTCTTTAGCATGGCGGTGTAAAAGTAACTTAAGGCATTGAGTAAACAGGGCCAGTGACAGTCAGAAGCTGACCTTGAACCAGGGCTTTCAGAGTCCCTGTTTGCATCAACATCTCAGTTATCATCCTGAACCACTTAAGGAGTCAAAGACACCAATGTTTTGTTTTGTTACTCAGCAAGGATGCAAGACTTAGTTGTTTTGCCAAATTCAATGGGTAGTTGTGCCTCTGATCGTACCACATAGGCAAAAGCTGGGCAGCTTGGCACTGTGTGCAAAAGCTATTAGCTAGATGAGCCTTTGCCTCTGGGGCGGTGGTGACACATTTCAGAATGAACAAATAATATACACTGAGTTAACAAAGTGGAAAAGAGTTTACGGCATTATTTGATATACCATTTTCAGCTACACGGCAACAGGTTCAGTTGCAAAGTACAGTTCAAATGTACATACACACATGCACACAGTCCTGTATACACACATACACATATACATACAGAAGCATGTATATATACTCTACTCTTACATACGCATATGCTCTTATGTAGACCTCTACTAATAGACTCACACACTTTTATAGATATAATTCTCACACAAACACTTCACACACCATTTATCCATGCACCTATACACTCATGCAAAGTGAGATGTCATAGCTGAGAAGCTTATTCAAAACTGTCTTGTAATTTCTCAAAACCACCAGGTAATAAATACCACCAAAGCACAACGAGCAAAGCAATGCAAACGAGCCTGTGCATTTCTCCTTTCAAGCTTCTGTGTTGGAGAAAATAAGAAAGGTGTTTGGGCTGGAAGTTCTATTCACTGTCCCAAACATGAACACTGGCCTTCTAATGCATATAATGCCTGACCGAGAGATGCTCTAGACACATTACCTCTTAATATTTGTATGTGTTTCAGGATTCACTTTAATCAGTCCATCAAGGTCTTGTTTCCTTTGGAAAAAGAAATGAGTTCCAATGAATGTCATTAAAATAAAACAGTAATCAAATGAACAGTAGCTCAGATATTAAGAAGTGATAAATGTAAGGTTCTCTGCACCAGTGTGGACATTTAAAGTTCTAAATGAAAACGGCAATTGTCTCACACCTCACGATGAAGGCCATTTCAAGGTGTGCATTTGCTAACAATGTGCATACACATGTACTGTCTGTTCGGTTCGGTTCTCAGAACACAGGGACACGCACCACTTGGGCCTGAACAAAGTCAGCATTGTCTGCAGATCCGTCTAGTTAGATCGTGTCTAACAGGCTATGGTTAAGCAAGGTAAGTTGGATGAAGTTAGTTACTGGAATCAGACTGAAGACAAATTACTAATTGATATAATCTTTCTTGTTTGTTTCTTTAATAATAATAAAATAATGATAGCAACATAGTGATTTAACAAAATTGAAAATACTAAGAAAACATGCCCTCATATAAACCCATATAATGCCCATGTTGAAACCTTTTAAATATCTTTTGCTTCAAAGTTAAGTTATTTTAGGAAACAGAGAGCCAGATTTAGAAATATAAAATATCATTACATAGTAGGAAACATAATGACCCACTTCTTACTGGATCTACATGCTGGCCCATCAAAAATCAAGAGAAGTATAAACTCTCAAGAAGTGGACAATGGGGGGTGGTAGAAATGGGGAGTGGATACCAAAGGCATCATAATTCTGGCCAGGTGATGCAGCAGTGAGTCCTTCCTCCCATTAAGGTACCAGCCCAGCCTCGCCCTGGGCTGCAGCTGAAACCACCAGAAGAGGTGACTGTAGGAATCTTAGTCAAGCTGGCTTGTGGTGTGGGGAGCCCTTCTGTACATATGTTGCTTTTATTAGTTAATGAATAAAGAAGCTGCCTTGGCCTGTGATAGGGTAGAGTAGAGCTAGCCTGGTAGGGGGGAGGTAACTAAACTGAAAGCTGGGGAAAAGAAGGTGGAGTCAGGGAGAAGTCACATAGCCCCACCAGGACAGAACCTTGCCAGAAAACCACAGTCATGTGATGATACACAGATTAATAGAAATGGGTTAAATTAAGATGTAAGAGGAAGCCAATAAGAAGCTAGAGCTAATGGGTCAAGCAGTTTGATTTAATTAATACAGTTTCTGTGTGGTTATTTCGGGGCTGAGCAGCCTGGAATAAACAAGCAGCCTCATACAACAGGCTTGGCTGTCTGTGTCTTTCTGGAAATGTACTTTGGAAACTATATGAAGACTGCATTCTTTAGATAAAGAATTCTACTCTCTCATCAACCCTTAAAAAGAAATCAATGCCCCAAATCAAAGAGAAAAGTAACTCAGTATTAAATATTGAGACAATTATTTTAAAATAAATATATTCACAGAAGACAAAGATGAATGACCACCTCTCCTATCCTTCTTGACTAATTCCATACTTTAAATTATGGTCATGAAGCTAAAATGTCAAATCATTTGCCTTCGGATTATCAGGTAGAAATCAGAATTGGAGACATTAGTGAGACTTACCCAGAGGTGCTTTCATGTCCTTTGGGCTTCATAACATTATCAAGCTCTCTACCTCTTATGAAAAGAATGTTTGGATTAGTTTTGTGGCATTTCCATAGAATTAGAAATAAATCACCCTTTCTATATCTTTAGTGATGAATTCAAGCTTTTGGAGAAAATTATTATCCTGATATCAAATGTATTTTAGTATAAAATTTATCAAATAATAGAGCTAAATAAATCTCCAAGATTTCATCATGCTAAGTGTAAATGTAAATTTCGATGTAATAACAATACATTCTTTAAAGTGGATAACAGGGCTGCAGAAGGAGGACACAAAAGAGAGGAGACATATTCAAAGCTGAGATTCCCTGCGCACCACTGAGAAGGTCGCCAGGTAAGCCGAGCAGAGCCTGAGACACAGAGACACCAGGCAGTTCTCACCGTCTGCTGCCTTTGTCTGCTGTGACACTCATTCTGGGAACTGGTCCGAGGCCTTGGCTTTATTGGGGAGAAAAAGTCATCAGAACTTACGTCAATACCAAGGAAACAGTGTCTTCCACACAGGAGCACTGACACACAGACTATGGCCGAGTGCAGACTAGGATCGAGTGCACAGAGCCTGCACAGGGTCAAGCCAGATGGGAGCCCAGAAGTGGTCATCTCTCTCCCATCTCTATCCAAGAAACTTTCCTTAGTTGACAACCGATTGCAAAGGAAAGGTTCTCTCCAATCGAGTATATAAACCTCACTTAAGAAGGTTCCTTGCCTAGCAGTAGATGGCCAATGCAAAATGAACTCAATGGTGTTTTAGAATTTGTTTGTTTTATATTTGACATTATTTTTTTGCTACAAGCTGCAATATTATACAGCAATTACTCAGCCGAAGGGATCTGGTAAAGGCTAAACAAAAAAGCAAGGCTCTCTTTGTGAATAAGTGGCTGTCCTTTCCTGTAGATTTTTCACTATAGCTACCTCCCTTTCTGTTACATATTTGGGGATGAATTCTCACAGTTTAGAACTGTTCAGTGAAAACAGTTTCCCACTGCCAGGCCGTGTTTCTCTCTCCTAGGTAAGAGCAGAGATCTGCTTTCCTGCAATTATCTCTGTCAGCAGGTATTAGTCAATACTTAGGGTCCAGACATAGAACATATCTAAAATATTCACAGATCTCCAAGGATGTAGAATCACTACCTGCCCAAAGCGGCTGCTCTGGTTCTACCCCACATCACCCACGATCAGAACAGTTGATAACAGCATAGCCTGAAACTGACAATTTAGAGGCCTGGGTCTCTTCTTCACTTAAAGCAGAACTCCAGACCTAGGCCCATAGGAACTGCAGTGTCTGGTGTATGTGCTATCTGATCAAGAGCCATCAGCTTCCCCCTAACTGTTTACGTAGGTTGCCTGGTTACCTGGTAACCTCTATGCTTGCTAGGAAAAAGTAGTGGCGTGCTGATTTAAACAATCTATGCCCTATTCATAATTTTACTGAAAATAAACCTTTTAGTCCTTTACTAATCACCTACTAATGTAGTGCACTAACCTCCACACAAAGAATCCCCTGAGGATTCTTCCCTTCTTAACTAACTTTCTCCATCAAGGAGTTCACTGGATGTGTACTGGCCACTCCCATGAATCTGTGTGTGTATGTGAAAACTTTTATCTGATTTTCTATGGGGCCAAAGAAATCTGATCCTGGAACCTGCTAGGGCTGGGGAATTGCTGGGTTTTAAGGGTATATTTGACTGAAAACATTTGTAATGGGTAGGATAAGGAAGGACAATGTAGAACTAAGACCAGTGTAGAACGAGGGAGAACAAGAAAGAAGAATGAGAAATGACGGACCGGGGAGAGAAGAATAAACATAGACAGGTGATTCCTGTTGTGAGTAGATTTCTTACTCCTCGGGTCTTTACCCTCAGATTTCTAGCTCCCCTTTAGCTATTCATCATGTTGATAACATTAATTGAACTCTGAAAGGGAGTTTTAAAGGCAAGAACTTTTAAAACTCTCTAAAAGTTTTTATCTTACTAGTCTTTTGTATGTTATGATTTTTGATTTTGTGATTTTTATAGGTGTGTGTGTGCATGTGTATGTGTGTGTGTTTGTGGTTTCCTGTGCTTTTTCATTGTTGGGTTTTTTCTGATTCATTGTTTTTTATTTGTATGTTTTGTTCTGTTTTTCTAAAGAAAAAAGGAAGGAAGGAAGGAAGGAAGGAAAAAGCTGTTGAATTTATTAAGGAGGTGGAGAGAATCTGGAGAAAGTGGGGGAGAGGAAACCGTGATCAGAATATATTATATGAATTTTCAATTAAAACAACTTACGTCAAATTGCCTGCAATATTTGCAATATTCTCTGAAAACCATTGTGCTGGCTAGTTTTGTGTCAACTTGACACAATCTAAAGTCACCTGAGAGGAGGGAACCTCAATGGGAAAAATGCCTCTATAAGATGGGATTGTATACAGGCCTAATGAGAATTTTCTTAGTGATTGATGGGGGAGGGTCCTATCCATGGTGGGTGGTGCCATCCCTGGGTTGGAGGTCCTACTTTCTGTAAGAAAGCAGGCTGAGCAAATCATGGGGAGCAAGCCGGCAAGCAGCACCCCCCATGGACTCTGCATCAGTTCCTGCTTCAAGGTTCCTGCCCTGCTTGAGTTCCTGTTTTGACTTCTTTCAATGATGAGTGGTCCTGTGGAAATGTCAGCTAAATGAACCCTCTTCTCCCCAAATTGCTTGGGCCATGCTGTTTCATCTCATCAATAATAACCCTAACTGTGTAAATGAGAATGTGCCTGAATGTGGTGTCTGATGTTTCTAGAAACAACTGACCAGAAAGGCCTTTGCTTTAATTACCCTTGGCTTACCTTTGAGGGTTCATCTATGTGGTGTGTGCATGTGTGTATGAATTCATGTACATGCCATGTGTGCATGTGAACATATGTGTACAAGAGTATGATTATGTGCTTGTGAATCCCAGAGGTCAGCATTAAATTTCCTACTCTATTACTTTCTACCTTACATCTCTTGTTGAACCTGGAGGTCACAGATTCAGTTATAGTGGTTACTCAGCAAGGTCCAGGCATCCCCCTGTCTCCTATTCCTTAAGTCCTAGGGCTTCTGATGCCCCCCACTTACCAGTGTTGGGGATCTGAACTTATGTCCATGTGTTTGCATGGCAGGTATTTTACCAACTGAGCCATCTATTTCCCTACCCCATTTTCTAGCTTCCTATCTTAATTGATTTTTACAGTGGTACTTGAGTTAAACCAACCTTCATCATGTTTCTCATTTTGCAATTTTTTCCTTTACATTTCTTGATTCACATTAAAAATTGATAAGTGTTTTTATCATTTAAGAAAATACAGAGTGAGAGATTCGGTAGAGAATTTGAATGGCCGCCTTTTAGACATGGCAGGAGTTGTACTCCTTTAACCCACTATTTCTGATAAATCTAAAGAGTTCTTCTGTAGCAGACAATATAGTGTAACACGCCCAGGCTGACAAGATTTAAAAGGCTAACTGAAGGAAATACCCCTGCCAATGGATGTGTTTTACATACCCCTTCTCTTTGTCCGTCCTTTGATGGATTTTCTTAAGACTTCCAAAAGCTTGATTCCTTTAGAATTTTGGAGTTGGGGAAAGAAAGTATGTGAGAAAAACTCAGTGGCATGTTCAGCGTCTCTTAGGACAGCTGAAGATTCCTCACAGCAGGAATGAGATGCAACAGGGCCTAATGCTCTGGAGAGTCTTAGAAATGCATAATTCAAGCAGTATAAAATGTCCGAGAGACACCTCAATATCAAGATATCAACCAATACTCAGTACAACTTAATCAGTTTAAAAGTTAACCTTATTTCCCAACCGCAGTCTTTTCTTTAGATTAGGCATAGATTAGAGGGAGGTTAAGTTTAATATATGCTTGGAGAGTTTTATCCTCTTTAAGCACAAAAATTCATTCCTGCTAGGTAAAAATCAATAATTGATCAACATTTTAAATGTAAATATTTTGAGGATTTAAAGAAATTATTCCCCATAAAAGTTTCCAGGGTGTCCTGATGGGTCAACATCACTGACTTTAGTACCTTAGGCAAACTTATCACATAGAATGAACTTTCGTATACAAAAATCTAATAATTATAACAGGCTACTGGCTGTCCATTACTATAATCCAAGCACCTGGAATGCTGAGGCAGGAGGATTGTGTGTTTGAGGCTGACTGAGGCTCCATGACAAGACCTTCTCCTAGAACAATAAAGAACTGAAGGCCAACCAATCACCTAGCACTACACAACCAAGCGCCGCACATTGACATTCAACATTTTCATCTCTGGCTGACTTCATTGTGACGAAATTATGGGCACATGAGGTCACCTATAATACACCAGCACGCCACTGTGACTGCTGCTAAGAGCGCCGCCCGTCACAGACACTTTGCTGTGTGCTCCGGGTCAGAAAGCTGAGAGGGCATTTGAGAGGACTGACTTGGAAGACTAGGGTATCATTCCATGCTCACGCTGACACAGGTCAATAGCTTTGAACAATAAATGTGACAACAGAAATCACTGTCATCTTATAAAAGCAAATTTAATGTCTAACCAAACACTAAATGGCCATTCTGGCAAGGAGCGCGAGAAATCTCAGAAATCCTTAACCTTTGCCATTCCTGACAGCTCAGAAAATGTTACTTAATTAGACTGTCAGAAACTGTATTTCTTTCAATGTGAAAAACGATATCAGTAATGAAAAGCCAAATTTCTAGTTTGTCACTGTCAGTTTAAAATTGCAAATGCATCTCTCAAAAACTACTAGTCCAGTTTTTAATCACCAATTAACCTGCTTCAAAATTTTTCATTGTCTTTCAACATCAAGATATTTACAAATACTTACGAAAAAACTAAACATAAGAAATGTGACTAAGATTCCATCTAAGAAGTGCCTTCTACATTTTAAGGACTTCAGTTTTGAGTAGCTCCATTCCCAGAACCAAAGTGCATGTGGTCAATATATTCAGTCCATAAGCTGCTTATAATAACCAGTTGGGTTTCCTTAATTTTTAATATGAAAGGGCGTGTGGCGATCACTTAGGCCACACTCTTCTCTTTATGAGATGAGGAAATTAAGAGACCTGACAAGGTCACTAAGATTCACAATGATGGCAGAGCCTCTATTGTGGCACCCAGCTTTCTCTGACCCTTACCCAGAGTCTGTGCCAGCAGACCGCCTGACCCTGGCAGGAGAACACAAGGCAATCAAAGGGTCACCCAAAGTGGCTGCCTTGACAGACTCTTACCCTTTGGCATCTCTCTCCATCTGGGTGTTCATATAGATGAGACTTTCAAGACTCTGAGCTCTGGAAACAAAAAGAATTGCAATAAAAGCTGCATGTTGAACTGAAATTGTGTGGTATCTTGAAAGGTCAGATACAATAAACATTTTCTATGAATTACTCCTTTACTCTCATTGAATGGAAGAGCAGAGACCCTTCCGGGCAATAATGTCTGAACTAAACGTACAATGCCGGGAGAGCTAGCAGATCGTACAATGCCGGGAGAGCTAGCCCATCTGCTGGTGTGTTTGTCTGCCAGAGGACGCAGCTCCCTTCCCACCACCTCCACCATCTGAAGGAGCAAGGCAAACAGTCTGAGACCCGGGACTTGTAGAGCAGCAAGACACACTTACCTTTTGTCTATCTGCTGTGCCTTCAGGTTTGCTCGGAAGAGGCCGTCAAGACCTTGATTTCTTTAAATATATTGATTAAAAATCTCATCAGTAATAATGGCAGATGCTTAGCTATAAAAAGCTTATACCAGTTGACATGTAAAATAGAAGCTGGCAGGGAAAGATGAGCTATGGTCCTGGAAATTGCTTTATTCTACACAGGTGTTTTCCCAAACTCCCAATTTAAATGACAGTGAAACCAAAGAGATAAATTAGGGTTATGCAGACCATGATAAACCTATAGAAATGTTGTTCATGTCCATGAAATGTTTCCTTTTTATTTATCTTTTATTCTTTTCTGAAAAAAAAAGTATGTGTGTGGATGCTCTTCCAGCCTGTCTGTGCATGATGTTCTATCCTTGGTTTCTGCAGAGGTCAGAAGAGGGCATCAGATCCCCCGGAACTAGAGCAGAGAGCTGTGAGCCACTATGTGGGTGCTGGGAACCAAACCCAGGTCCTTTGAAAGAACATCAAGTACTCTTAACCTCTGAGCCATTCTCCATCCCCTGTTGTCTTTCTTTTTATTTTTGAAATTAAAATATAATTACATTATTCTCCCTTTCCTTTCTGCCACCCCTCCAATGTACACTGCTTTCTCAGATTCATGGCCTCTGGCATCTTTTTCTTTAATTACTGATGTACATATTTCATTTTAACATAAACCAGTATTTATAGAGCTATCCATGATGTAAGACATGACGTTTCAGAGTATCCCTTTCAGCCCTGCAGCACCCAGTTCCCATGCAGCTTCCACAATTGGTGCCGAGATGCTATTTTCTCTTCCTCTTGCCCTGGTTCCTCCACTGCCTGTACCTCATGAGGTCAGTCACACCCACTCATTCACACCTGCATTTACAGCTCCTGATCTAACATCTCCTGTCTGGGAAGATGAGAAAACCAAAGAGCAGCAAAGCTAGGTGACTTGTTGGCATTCAGCCCACAGATCACTATTTTCAAAACAGCTTGTGAAAACCATATTTCATAGCTTTAAATCAATGAAATCAGTGGACATTTTTTATTGCTTTCTTCCTTTCAGTATCTGCTAATCCTTTCTGCCTCCATCATTAATTTGTCTCTCTGAGAAAATTTTATTTTACGATTACAAGTGAATCAAAACTTGGGGATAATTGTAACAGAGATATTAGTGGTTCAACTCAAAATATTCAGCAATCAAGTGAAACTGTATGCATACAAATGTGTTAAAAATATCAGAAACTTTGGTATATGTATAAACATACAGTTATTTTAAATTTCATGGAACATGACAATCAAAGATACATAAATATTAGTGATTTAATAACTGTTTGATTATTTCTCCAAGCTCTTAATCCAAGATTTGTGAGGCATTACTGACTACTCAGATATGTTGATCCTACTCTAAAACAGAGCATTGTTTTTAATTTTGGAAGGATGATCAAAGAAATCACAATGTTCAGTTCAACAATAACATGAAAATGCACCTTTTTAAACCTCACCTGTTCAAGCTTTTGTTCATTCTGATGAGATTGTCCAATTCTTCACTTTGGGAAGAGAAAATATAATCTAATATTAGTTTAAAAACAAAACAACAACAACAACAACAAACCCCTCTTAGAGTCAAAGGGCAGATTAGCCTTAAACTAACTCTGAGTACTCAGAAACGGAACACGAGCCCCCATGTTAATTATCTGTAAAGCTCTATTTATCCTTCAAGGTGTCCCCCAAATGCCAAGCTGCCAAAGAGGCCTTTCCTGGCTCACTAGCTAGAGTCTCCTCTATGTGTGGAATTCTTACAGCATGTAGGGGTTTTGTATCTACTTTAGGGGACTTCATGGCATTATGTATTCTAGCAATAGCAATTCTGCTTTTGTTGCATGTTAACGTCCCTTCCCAGGTGCACCGCTTAGAATTCAGGGCTGCATTTTACAATGCATCCTTCAGTCTTTAATAATTACCTTTAGGTAGATGTTTAATACTCGTTTCCAACTATAGATTCTGTTCTCACACAATGTAGCTGCGCAGAAAGTCGCTGCTCAAAAGACACTGCCTTACTTCCTGAACTCTACTACAAGTTCATTCTAGGCCAACTAAACTCGCAAGAATGTTTCCATCTTTGAGAACTGAAAAGTCCCTTTCTGGCAACCTTTTCCCAGGGTACTCTTCAAGCTAAGGTTCTGCGTTGAAGAAGTTCCCTTAAACCATGGGCTCAGCGCTCCTCCCCCAGCAGGAAGCTGGTCTACAAGGCTTCCCAGGAGTGTTTGTTATCCCTTCCTCCTGTGTGCGTTCTCCACTCATTTTCTTTCCTTCTTCCATCGACACTCATCCCCACTCCTCTTGCCTTCCTCATTTAATGTGTTTATGCCTGCATTTTTGTTCTCTCTTCTGGCTGCTATAAAGTCACACATGTCCCCAGCTTTCTCAACATCCTTCTTTCTGCTTGAGTCCTCTCTGGTGTAGACCAGGAGACCAGGATTTATCCCTTCAAGCTTCTGTGCCAGAGACAGCTACACTGCCATCTAAAGGATATCATGCTTCATCGGTGGCCCTGATGAATTGCTTCAGCTCATGTTGAGACAATTTCCCCATAGGAAAAGTAATAATACTAATCATGTTCATCTTTAAAAAGATTCTCACCTAATCTTAGCCATTATAATAAATAGGACTTTGTCATTATTTTTCATGCTCGTTATATTTACAATTATATTTCAATTAAATTTGTAGACAGGAAGATACTGTGTCAGCTTCAGCAAGACAAGAGTGGATGGGCCTGTTCTGTGTAATGTTAAGTAACTCACTATTGCCAGAACTGTCCAGGACAGTCCTCTGCAAGCCCTTCTTTGCCATGCTCAATCCATCACCAATATGTAGGTGATTCACTGAAAGTGACTTTGCCCATTTAATGATAAGACTGAAAGCTGAGAAGAGATACTGAAAGGTTTGGAAAACAGCTATTGGACCTGACAGAAAGGAGTAATATTTTACCCTCATGGGAAACAAACTGCCTAGCGCCCAAACACTGTGTTCTGTTATTGTGTCTTTCTTGAAATGCTACCTGATAAGCAAAGACTAGCTGAAAATTTGTTTCCATCCCAAGGGAAAGAGCAACAGAATCCTGTACATTTTAGCCCCAGACCCTTGTGGCTGGCGTGAGCCACAATGATAAGATTTTTCAGGATTCAAGGTCTCTGGTGTGTATCACAAACAAATTAGCATAAATCATGAGAAGACACTCGGTGGTAAATTAAACACCGTGGAGACAGCATTCTGGATGAAGAACCGAAGCTTTCAAAATGACTGTAAATTGATAAAAAGCTTTAGATATTAAGTTTCGCCATTGTCTTTGCCACAAATTAAATGCCCTTCATCAGATAGCAAAGCTCTCTGGTCCACAAAGAGCAGCTGGGAAAATGGCGCTCTTTCTGCTCCCTTTAGAGAGATTTCCCTGGACCCTGTGAAGTCTGCGCTCTCTCTCTCTGTGGTTAATGTATGTCTCTGCGAGATTTGTGCCTGTGGCTGGGGTCAGGGACAGGGGAGCCCAGTGACTGCTGCTCCCACTGTGTGACGTGACTTAGGCCACACTGGCACTGCTCCTCAGGGTCACTCACCTGTCCTGCCCTCAGTCTCCAGCTGAAAACTTGTCCCATTGTTAACAAGAACAAAATATTAACCTGGGTGTGGCTTGGTCAGACCTGTAACCCTAGATACTCAGAAAGGTGAGGCAAAAGGATCACAAGTTCAAGACTTGCTTGGGCCACAGAGAGAGCACAAGGCGCAGCTGGGAAACCTAAAGAGATCTTGATTTCAAATTTTAAAAAAATGGAAAAAAAGCTGAGGCAATCTGAGACAATCTGAGACAGATTACTTTCCTGCCATGTTTAAGGCCCCAGTCCTGAAGAGTTTACTTCGAAGTGAATTAATAATATTAGAAATGTAGGCGCTTAAATGAGAGAAGGATGAGACTTGAACATCAAACATGACACTTTGTATAGTCTCCATCTAATACAGAGGTCCTATCAGCTGCACAGAGAACCAAGATCTAACACAGAGG